TACCTAGAGTTGTATTCTGCTGACAGCCATAGTTCCAAAGCTGAGTACATTATCTTAGGTTTAGTGAACCTGCAGAGACATAAACCTGTTCATAGGTTTGAAAATACGAAATGTGATTGCCATTAAGATTGAAGACTTCTGATGTTGCAATGTGGTATAGTATTTGGGCTAACATGATGACCTTTTTGTTTTTTAACCTACTGTTCCATTTGATGGCTTTTGGGAATGGGAACAGAGTAAGAATTGACCCCCTTCTGTGTTGTTTGGGTTCTTCCCAGATATTTGTAGGTTTTTTTTCTCTTATGTAATAAAATTCCACGTTCTGCTGGAATTACCTGTTGCTTTAAAATAAGACTATCTCAAGTACCACGAAATCAAAGGTGATACTGTGCAGTAAGATATTGGGTTTTTTTTTTTTTTTTTTTTTTAACGTTTTGGATGGTCCATTACTCTTTGGTGAAGGTAAAATACAGCTATATGTTTCCTATCCTAACGAGTATCATGGAAAAATCACCATCATAATTTTTGAAAAAAACATGAATATTTACCATTTTCTGTGTTTTCCTTGAAGAGTGTGATTTTATCATTTTTGAAAACAGCTGGTTAATAGTAAGTGCCAAGATCACTGAAATGCAACCTTTTTTTTTTTTTTTTGGTCGGTCATGGGGCTTGAACTCTGGGCTTTGGGCGCTATCCCTCAGCTCTTCAGTTCAAAGTGAGTGCTCTATCACTTGAGCCACAGCACCACTTCCAGCTTTCTGAGTGGTTTATCCGAGATAAGAGTCTCAAGGACTTTCCTGCCTGGGCTGATTTTGAACCAGGATCCTCAGATCTCAGCCTCCTGAGTAGCTAGGATTACAGGCATGAGCCACTGACACCCTGCACAAGCTTTTAACTACTTTAATTAAATATAAATTATACAAAGCAAAACTCACTTAAAATGTCAGATTCAGTGATTTTGGATGTAGTTTACAGTACAACTGCTCTAACCTTAGCACATTTTTATTACCCTGAGTTCCTGCATTTGCCAGCAGTTATCTCTATCTTCTGTAATGTAGTCATGGGAATTCCTACTCACCTTTGTTTCTGGGGATTGCCTGTTGTAGACATGGATGATACAATATATGGTTTTTGTGACTGGCATAATGTTTCTTTTTCTTTTTAATTTCATTTCTATTGTGTCAGGATAGATGAGCACGACTTACATATCATTGTTGGGTTTTTATTGTTGAAAAACATTCTATTGTGAGGATAAACAACACTTTATTAATCCATCCATTAGTAGTTGGACATTAGAATTATTTCCACTTTTGCTACTGTGTATAATGCTGTTGATACATATGTGTGTGTGTATATATATATGTGTAGATATTTAAGAGCAGAATGACAACAATATGCTTAAGCACTTAAGGAGCTACCATTTAAGACTGATCTCCCAAGTTTTTCCCTTATACATATACCAGAAGTATATGAGGTTTCTGACTTCTTGAACTTCTCATCAAAGCTTGTTATTCCTTATGTTTTGATTATAGTTTTCCTAGCGGTTATGAAGTAGTGTCTCATGGTGGTTTTAATTTACATTGTCCTGTTGGTGGAATATCTGTGTATTTTCTGGAGATTTGTCTGTTCATAGACCATGCAACCTGTTCTGTGGTTGAGCTGTAAGTTTTAGATAAAAGTCGGTTTATTAGATGCATAGTTTGCAGAACTTGTCTCCTCTTCAGTGGCTGCCCTTCTCACTTTCTTGGTGATATCTTTTGAAGCACAAAAGCTTTGAGAGCTGTCTAATTTATCTGGGTTTCCCTTTTGCTGCTTGTACTTTGGGGGTTATATCTAAGAAGCCATTGTATAACCCAAGGAGACAAAGTTTTGTTCCGATGTTAGATTAGCCTATTTACTTTTAAGGATGTTTTACAGTACTCGCTCTTATCCATGGTGAGTAATTTTCAAGACGCATACACATTTATATAGTTTGATTTATAAACTAGGCTTAGTAAAAGGTTGCCAACAATAACACATAATAAAATAGAACAACTACAAGAATATACTCTATGAAAGTTATGTGAAAGTACTGTCCCTCTCTCAAAATACCTGACTGATGGTAATCACCCTTCTTATGATCATGGGTCACTGAAATCATGGAAGGAAAAAAAAAACCAATAATAAGTGATACAGGATCACATGTTGAGCTTTTCTTTCCTTTTCTTCTCATTTCTTTTTTTCTTTCTTTTCTTTTCTCCTCTTCTTCTTTATTGCTTTTTTTCTTGTTCATAGTGTAAGGTAGGAGGTCTATCTTCATCCTTTTGCTTGTGGCTATCCAGTTCAATACTATTTCTTGAGTAGACCATCTTTTCCTGTTGGATGGTCTTGGTACTTTGGATAAAAACAGTTATTGTTTCACTAACACCAATACAATGTGGCTGTTAGGTATTTTGTTCAACTGTTAGGTATTTTGTTATCTTCCATACTGTAGGAAAAAAAAATTCTTTCGGAAGACCAAAAAATACAGAGACTTATTGAATACCCCTAATTATAGATTTCCCCCACCACACCTCACATGCTCTCATACATAGGTCCTTCCTTACCAGTGACTCCCCATTAATTTTTCAGCAACCAGAATGACCATATTTGATTACAAAGGCTGGTAATTTCTGGTCTTTGTTTATATATGAACACAACACCCAATGAGTCATAATAGTATGCCAGAAGCTAAATAGTCTGTGCCACAATGTTCATACAGCTTTACTTCTTTGTATAGTATTAAAACATTATTGTTTTGAAATGCTAAAGTATTCTAAGTATGCACAGAATTTGAAAGGTTTAGAAAACAAATGTGGGAGTTTTATGCCTGATAGTCACTAGGGAATTAGGAAAAAGAAAAAGAAAATACGCATCTCATCTTTACATCTTCGAAAAAGACAGGAAGCAAGAGGTATTTCAAAGTAAGCAAGGTATGTCAGAATGTCAGAGTCATTAATACATGAGCATTTTAGGAACTCAGCTTGCCTCATAACTACAAGTGACATAAGAGAGCTCTAAGTGGACTAATTAATTATTCTTTTTTTTGGTCAGTTGCGGGTCTTGAACTCACGGCCCAGGCACATTGTTCGTGAGTTTTATTTGGTAGCACTCTTCTACCTGTGTCCTAGCTCCACCTCTGGCTTTCTGGTAGTCAACTGGGGATTAGAGTCTCATAGTCATCCCGCTTAGGCAGGCTTCAAACTGCAATTTTTAGATCTTGGTCTACCAAGTAGCCAGGTTATGGGTATTAAGCCATCGTAGTTTTTAATGTGCACATAATCCTTGTCCTGACACCACTTATAGACTCATGTTCATATATGGTTTTAAATATAAATCTAATGAAAATATGTTAAATGCCATTGAGGAGGCCCTACGTAGCCATTACACATGAGTCAATGAAACTGTTTCAGTGTATTTGAGGTACACAATTACCTAGCTTTCACTAGCTCTGTGTGATTCTTAAATACCTTCTCTCTGTCCTAGATTTCTCTACGGTAGAATAGGAACAAAACCAGCACATGCACGCCAAGTTTCTATGTGGATACTAAATGATGATGTAATTTAGGCTTAGAGCCTGGCTGGGTCATAGTTAAATATTCACTAGATCAGTAAAGTCATTGTACATATACTTTATGTCCTCTCATTCTGTGTAGTAGAATATTTAAAATGGAATGTTTTAATACGTAGTTTGGTATGAACTAGATTGACCTTAAATTTCACATTTAAAAGTAAAACATTCCGTGATGAAATACTGCACAATGACAAATGTTAGACTAAAAACAAAAGCTTTAGGGCCCCTTCTATGAACCCATCTTAATTTTTTTTTTACCTTCCTTTCATGCCACTTTCCCAGAGGAAGTCATATTTCAGTTTCTTGTTACCTAACTAGATGTATTATTTGCATATAATGAAAAATGAAATTGTTGGAATTCTGTGTTTATGCATAGTGAAGTTTAACACATGTATGAACTCATAGTTTACACATGACTATCCTACTTCAGTTAGAAAAATAAATCCTGTGATCTGACAATTTATTTTCATAACTGTCTACCTAACTCCAGATTTGCTTCTTCATATTTCATGGAATAGTCTTGATGTTTACAGACGTATCCTACCTGGGAACTGGTCAAGAGTCCCTGCCACAGATATCTTCATATACAGATGATAATAAAAAAATAAATTCTGAATTCAATCATCTTTACATACATCACCTCCCCTAGGTCTCACTTGCCAGTTTTTTTATGCCTGTTATCTTCCCAGCTGCTAATAGGCCTTCTCCTCCTCCTCCTTCTCCTCCTCCTCCTCTTCTTGTCTTCTTTTTCTTTTAAATTTTACTTCTGATTCCATCTCAAACCTTTTTCTCCTTGCTACATCTTTGGAAAGACCTGGAAACCTACATTTCAGCCAAACCAGAAGTCCGATGTCAAATTCAAACTTGACATAAACAACTTATTAACAAAGAAGAGACAGAAATACACATAAAAAATGACTTTTATAGTTAGATGCAATTCCATTGTAAATCTTCTCTGCTCAGAACTATGCTGCTTGGAAAGGTTTCTTCCGATTGCAGTTTATCTGAGGATATTTGACATATTTCCTAACAATTACAGTTCATCTCAGGACATTTTACTATTAATCAGGAAAAGGCAATTCCATTTACTTCAAGAAGGTTTTAGATAGCCTTGTTTAATGGTTGCTTAAGTATTTTACTAGTTGAAGAGGCCGAGTAGATCAGCAACTGTGGAGAAAGGTCGGGATACAAAATCCTGTTGTGTGGGCAGAACAGTAACTATTTCTGATTTGAACTCTGCATGTCCATTGTGTAAAACTACTGACTGATATGTTAATATCTTTCTGATATGCTTTAAGAAGTCAATTATAAATTCTGGTTCTAAACTGCAAAGACTTGCTGCTTTTCGCGAGAACTTGAAAGTTCTTGCCATTAATTTTTCTCTTGTCTGTGTCTGTTTTGTTGACAGAGAATCAAATTCTGTGTTTGACCAAGTGGACATCAGTCTTCATTGGTGGAGAGCTGCCTGGTGAGTACTCAATGGCCCTGAATTGAGGAACGGAAAGTGCTGGGTTCTAGAGTTTTCCGTCATTAAAGTGAATCTCTGGATTCACACTGATAGCTCTCTGAAATGTCTTTTCAAACAGATTCACAGTCACCTTTTCTTGGGGGGCAATGGAGAATGAAGCGGAATCTTCCTGGGTTTTCTACATTCCATTTTCCTAATTCTACTATTGGCCTAGGCTGTATCCTCTGCATACTTTCTGCTTACTACGTTTGGTAGTGTTTCCTCCGTTGTTTTAGTCTTTCTTGTTTTTTTTCAGGAGGAATATATGTGGCCTTTCAGTACGAGGCAGGTTTTGTTAGGGATAGTCCCACCGATGCGAAAGAAGAAAAGAATCACATTTGCTATACTCATTGGACAGTTAGAATCCTCCATCTTGGGATATCTCCCTATCTGGAAGGTGTCAATAAATTCTTTATCTGTTTCCCTTATGTTCCATTTTACAAATCTTCCATGAAATGCCAGAATAGGATGGGAGTATTTTAAGTAGGGCTGAAGCACTTTAATGACAAATTTGATCTTACCCATGTGTTACGCTAGAGCCGGAATCCTAGCCAATATGAGAGTCTGTTCTTTTCTGAACCCTTCATCAAACTGCTATTTTCTAATTATTGTTGCACATAAAAAACGTACTATCTGTCCTTTCTTCCTTTAAGGGACAAGAAATCATTTTGTAGTGATTACACTTGCCACAAACTTAACCGTTCCTCTTGATACTGAACGCCAAGGTCCCAGGCTTTTACTGTCAGTGTTTTTTCTCTCCAGAGTGTTACATGTCATGTCAGGAACTCTGTTATCTTCTGTCTGTCTGGCAGTGCCTGGGGCTGGTTTTCTTCTGGCTTTTCTGTGAGGGAAGGAAGAATTGCATAATCTGACAGCTCTCTAAATGATCGGTCATTAATTATGACATAGGAGTATCAAGAAGGTAGATTTATTATTGAATGTTCCTACCTATTTTTAGTCAAGTGGACTATATTTTACTACTCCCTGAGGATGACTCATAAACCTTGTCTTAGTAGGCATAGCAGAGTTGAGGGGTTCTGAGTAATTCCAGAGATTTTAAATCAGTATGAGTTACCCATCTACCTTTGGCTCTATTTTCCTGGCCTATCCATTTTTTCCTGTGCAATACAATGACCTTAACTAGATTATTTCATCAGTTGTATTTTAAATGGTTTATAAGAAGAATTATGTATTTAATGAATATAAACCCTTCATCTAAACAAGCCAAAATTCAAACAGAGCTCAGCAGTTGTTTGTTCAAAATTTTAACTTCAAAGAAGACATTCCTGTACCACTTAATAGTGGTATAAATGCCACACATTTGCTTTTGCAAATATTCTAGGACCAGGTCCTAGAATAGGCGACAGTATTCATGGGCTCTTGTCCAATTTTCCAGGCCTATAGGTCTTGACTGGATTTGATGTCACCTGGTTGTTGTTGATTTCATGTCCTCATTCCCAAGAAATAATTGTTTCTTATGTCCCTCCACCTTCCCTGAAAAGCAAACACATTTGCTCCCTCTTCAAGTGCCATTCGATTGTTGGGTATAGTGACTTTTGAGTCAGAATCCTTTTCTAATAACTTACAATATTAAAAAAATATCAGAAACCTCTAGATCTGAGGAACCAAACTTTTCTGATTTTGTCTTGAATACTTGCTTTATGGCCCCAAGATTCCAGCGGTGAGTGACTCTGACCAGGTTTCAGTCCTAAATGTGTTTCAGGCCTGTTTGTTATAAGCCTGCTGTATATATTTTATTTTCTGTTGTACTGTAATATAGATCTTGTTTGTTATGTTACATTGAACTTAATTTATTATCAGTGTGAATTAATAATTTTCTAAGATCAAAAGTGTTATACAGAGAACAAGATGACTATTTTTGGATGAATTATCCCCTCACTTGCACTGCTAGAAAGTTAGGTTGAATCAAAGGCCATTTTCAAGTTTATTGGGAACAAAAAGAAAGAACCCCTTCCTGAGATCTTTCCTATAGGATGTTAGTTTGCTCTTGAAAACATTATATTATGTTTTGGGTGCTTGTTTCTTTTTTAAAAAAATGTTTTAATTGATTTTTATTAAATATTAATTACATAGAGTACTCAACATGGATGTTAGGTTACCAAATTTTAATAGTGTCTTCTCTCTCTTTTTACCTTTACTCTGTAACTTTACATATCATCTTTACCTCTTTCATACCTGAAGAATCATATGTTGTTGTGTCAGTTATCACCATCTTTTTTTCCCAGATCTATATTTGAGGGTGGCAATGCCTTAGACTGTGTGATGTGTATAGAACAAAGTTATTGCTTGCTAATTAGACTGTAGATGTTGCAGTTATTTCAAACTCCTGAGTATTGTAGATGCTCTTATCCAGGAGACTGTAACAGCCAATGGTAAAGAGCATCCATAGTTTTGCATTTCCATAGAGTACCTGCTGAAAATCTTGAATAGAGCTCCCTAGATGAGAATTTCTGCCCAATTCAGCTTATAAAGTCTGGGCTCCCAGAGGAAACAAGTGAGTTGGAGGAAGGGGAGGAAAGAGAAGAAGCCAAGCACGGGTGGAGTCAAGTTAAAAAAAAAAAGCCTGTCCAGCCTGATTCCTGGGAGAGCACTGGAACGTGGTTGCTATGGAGAGCCCCCCTTCCATTTATGGGAATGAATCTGAGCTTTCCCGTTCCCCAGCCTCAGTCATTGGCTGAGGTTGGTGAACTTCTAAGCACCTCTGCTCTTGAATCTGGGATAAAGCAACTTTAAAGGGGCCTGCTTGAAAGAAGTTTCAGATGTCATCTTCTAAAAGCTGGCAGGTGGATACACAGATCTGTTCAAAGCGTCCTGTGTCTGCATAGGACACTGAGAGTGTCTGTTCCATGAAATAACAGGTCATCTCACTTGCTTCCTTCTTCCTGCAGGAACATTTGTCACCCCCATTGGACATTTCCTGGTAGAAGTTAAGCCATTTCATCAGCTGTAGACAATTCATTTTCTTCCCTTGAGAATGTAGTAATCTGCTTCAAAAATCTAAAAAGTCCTCAAATGATTACAGTGTTGAAAGATGTCAAGGTGATTTTGAGCAAGGAGAATTCTATAATAAATTAGAATAAGATAGAGCATGAGCAATGTGAGAACATGAGGCCTTGAATGATCTCAGTTTTAACATGGGGTCTCACCTCATGAACAGCTATGTTCTTCCTTTCATCTTGGTGGCTTCAAGGCACACAGACTGCTTACCTGGGCTCCCATGTGGTTATTCCAGGTGTCCGAGTAAAAGTAGCATCAGTGTATTACTTGGCCTTGGCTGTCATGCCTTGTCATTCACTTTACATTATTTGTGTTCCAAATGAATCACAAACCTGCCAGTTTTAAGAAGAAGAGATTTAAGACACCTTCTCTTGGAGAGAAGAATGTAGGAAGAGAACATTTCGGTGATTTTGGAAAGCTAGGCTGGATAGTCCTTGACAAAATCCAAAATACTTTTTTTTTAATTGTGAAAATACTGTACAGAGGGGTTACAATTACATGGGCAAGATAATGAGTACATTTCTTATCAAGCATTGTTGCCTCCTCTTTGTTTCCCCTTCCCATCTCCCACCCCCCTTCCCCCCTCCCCCGCCCCTGCCAAAGTTGTAAAGTTCGTTTTTCAACATAACATCTTGTACATCTCATTGTTGCAATGAGTCCACTTGTATCCCTATTTAAACGATTTGTTTTGCCCTTCCCCTCCGCACATTATACCAACATCAAATACAGTGTAAACAGAGGTTATACTGTGGGGGGGGCATACAAAACAACAAAGAAATCATCTGATAAATATGTTAAAAACAATCGCAAGAAAGAAAAAAAATTTTGAATCCTTATCTTGGGGTTCATTTCACCTAACATCAACTTATCTGACTTTTTCTTCTTGTCTCAGACATATACTAGTTATTGCAAATTAGGAAAACCATGGGACCTATGTTTCTTTGGGCCTGGCTTACTTCACTTAATAGAATTTTTCCAAATTCTTATGTCTTCATCTTCAATGGCCAACTCTGGCCCCCCCATTTATCTTTCCTTCTTTACTTTTAGAACCATTCTCAACTGTTGAGCCATACCTCAGCCCCACATTTTCTCCTTCTTTTTGTGATGAGTTGAAGAATTGAGATTTGAGAGAGAACAGAGCAAAAAGAAAGGGACAAAAGTACCTAAATCCTGTTTCTCTAAGCAAAAGAACATATTGTTAACAACCCAAGAATATCTCCTTCAGAGGACAAAATCTTCTATGTTGACCTATGGTTGGCTTTCCATGAGTTGCATTCTTTGGCTTTGTTTCTTACTCTATATGGTCACCAGGTTTCCTTCCCAAGTTGTAATATCAAGGAGAAAAAAAATGGGCATGAGAGAAACATCATGACCTTTGAGAGATAGTCTTCCAGTTGCTAAGGTCAGCAATCTGCCAAGCACTGTTCCTCCTAGTATTCATGAGAAAGTGCCTGTCTTTTGTCAGAATCTAATCTTTATCACTTGTTGGGTACATAATGAGCATTTATTTCCTCTTTATACCTGCCTCATAGCCTTCCACTAAACATTATTAAAATGCCAACCATGTAAGAATTTAGGTGGAGTGCACTCAGTTCTGGAACTTACTTACTGTGAAAGGCATTTAAAGAAAAAGCTCTTCTGGATAAAGGGCTAGATATTTGAAAAAAGTAATATAATAACATTTTAATGGTAGAATCTAGGTATACTTAAATAAGATGTTAGAAAAGAGAAGCATCAACTGAAAATTATAGCATGATGTATTTGAAAACCAAATGTCCATTTTCTACTCTAGCAAATGCTTAAAATTTGTCTTGTTTTTAATTTTTTTATTTAACCTTTAAAAAGTTATATTAGCATTATTTGTTCCAGCTTCAGTTTACCCTTAAGGTTTGAGGAAACTGGAAAAGGTCTGACAGTCCAGGGTAAAAAAGTAGTCTAAAAGT